AATAAATCAAAAAATTAGCTGGGCATGGTAGCGTGACCCTGTAGTTCTGGCTACTTGGAAAGCTGAGGCAGAAGGACCGCCTGAGCCCAGCAGGTTAAGGCTGCAACGGCCGTGAGCATGCCACTGCACCCCAGTCTGGGCAACGGAATGAGACTCCAACTAAAATAATAATAATAATAACGGTGACCAAGATGGACAAAAATCTTATTCTCTTGTAGATTAAACTTTCATGTGGCAAGACAAGAGTTAACATATAATCAATTAATCAAAGCATTTTAATATAGTGTTAGATGCTAAATGGAAAGATAAAATGAATTCGTGGGCTAGAGACTGATTGTTGGTAGTGGTGGAGGGAGGTGTGGGTCATTAGAGAGTAACCAGGAAAAGTTCTTTAAAGGAAGTGATATTTTTATTATCCTAGGATTAAAAATTATCACTGTGTTTTCATGGACGTTGATATTTTCTAACTCAGTATATAGCATTTCTATATCTCCCATTCTGTGATGCACTCACATTATTTATTGTAGTCTTTCACCTTTCTTCATGCGTGCTTTTTGTGGAAATATGAGACTCTGCTTCTCTCAACACCAACCTGTTTACCTTCTCCAGCTCCAGAGATGGACAATACCTAGAAAGAGCCAATTAAGACATTGTGTCTTCTTGGTTGAAGATTAGATGGTAATCTAGGAAAATCCACCAAGCAGAACCTTGAAACTATTGATTTTACGTCAATGTAGATGTTCTCTATCTCTTACTGAACATCAGTAAACACACAGGTAGCCTTGTTTGTTACTGGCAGATGCGTATGTCTATAAAGGAAGTCATATAAACAGAAATAGCAGGGAATGGAAATAAAATGGTTCCTTGATTCCATGACTGAGAAATTAGATCCTGAAGCTTTTTTTAACTCTGGTTTTTGATAAATAATTGTATGGCTTAAGCCACTTCAATTGAGTTCCTTATTAATTGTATAATATAGTTTTTGACATTTTTCTTTTTGTCATTTATTCCTTCTTTAAAAACTTTTAATTTTTTTATTTCAAAGATGTGGGGTACAATTCAGGGTTAGGTTACAAATATTCATTATGCAGGTACCCTTGCTGATGAGGTATGCCCCCCCTTTCCCAGGCAGATTCCCACTACTGCCAATCCCACCTCCCCGCTCCCCCCACCCAGTTTCCCACCACTGCCAATTCTTTTCTTAATAGTGTTACGATAGTTGTTCAAGGACCTCTTATGAATGAGAACATGTGATACTTAGTTCTTTGTTTCTGTGAAAGATCACTCGGTATTATAGACTCTAAGTTCTATCCAGGTTGCTACGAAGTTCATGATTTTGTTCTTTGTTATGGCTGCGTAATATTCCATTGTGTATATGCACCACATTTTTTTATTCTCTTTTGAGAGGCAGGACAGTTGGTTCCATGTTCTTGCTATTGCAAACAATGCTGCGATAAACACACAGGTATCTTTTTTAGAGAGTGATTTGAGTTCTTCCAGGTATATTCCCAGTAGGTAGAATGCAGGGTCATATGGAAGGTTGATTTTTAGAACTTTTAGGAATCACCACATTGTTTTCCACAGAGGTTGTACCAGTTTGCACTCCCACCAACAGTGTTCCCTTTTCGCCTATTTATTCCTATTTGGCTATTTTTCTCTTACTTATTATGTTTATTTGTCTATTAGTGATACTAGCCCATCATTTATATGCTATGATGCAATTTTATGTTTTCAGTCATTTAATTTACTTTTGGTGTCTCTTGCTGTAAAATTATTTTTAATTTAAATGTAAAAGTATTCTTATTTTTTTGTAATTTTTTCATATTCTTATTTGATTGAAAAAGTTTTATCTCAATGTTGCAATATATCTGTTTATATTTTCTTCTCTTGTTCATTTTGTCTTTAACATTTATTATTAGAATTGTTTAATATTGTAAATTTCAAATATTTTTCACATTGTTGGCATTGTGCCAATAGTAGTTACTACAATCCATCATCAGCCCATTGACATTAACTCTTAATATTTTACCATATCATAAAGGAATATTTGTCTATTCCTGAACCTAATCACAATCTTTTAATTGTTTTGTATGTGCTAGTATCTCACTAATTTTTTCTCCAATATTTTATTAATATTTTACAGTTTTTGGAACATAGCATTCCTTCCCATTTCTTCTGATTATCATGGCCTGCATTTCCTCTAAGTCATAACCATTCCCTAATTCCCAATTTATGTACAAGTCTGGAACTCATTCTACCCCCAGCTTCAGGAGTTGACCTGTGGCCTACTTCTGGGCTGTGGCAGAATTACATCCACCCAGCTAGAGTGAAGTTCTATGGCAGTCTCGTGACCTAGGAAAAAGCAGTTGTGTGCATGAATGACATATTTCCAATCAAAATTAATCCAACTCTTTTTGCTTCACTGACCAAGAAATAGTGTCTCTTCTTTCCTCTTTCTTCTTTAGCTTGAAGCTGTGAGGAGATAAATGTGTCACTATTAACAGCGATTAGCATGCTCCTACATGAATCCCGTGACAGACAAATGCTTGCAGAGAATAGAGCTGAGAGATGCCAAATGAAAAATAGACCCTAATGCTATCCTTATATAATATATATATAATAACTACATAAAGACAAGAAGATAGAACAATTCAGATAGTGCAATAACTCGGCAAAATCCTTCAATGGCTTCCTCTCTAATTCAGAATAAAAGCCAAAGCTCGGGATATGAAGTCTGAGAAGTCTGATGATCAGCTGTTTGCAAGCTGGAGTCCCAGGAAAGCCAGTGATGTAGTTCCATCTGAGTCCAAAAGCCTGTGAACCAGGGTGTAATTTCCCGTCTAAGGACAGGAGAAGACCAACCTCCCTGCTCTCACAGTCAAGCAGAAAGGATGAAATCTTCCTTTGTCTTTTGTTCTGTTCAAACCCTC